CAGGGCCGGATTTGAACCTGCCACTCTCGGTATATGGGGCTGGTGCCCTACTCACTGAGCCACAGGCACCGCCCTACTCAGTGTTTTGTAATTATTCCTGTAGAGGTCCTTCACCTCCTTTGTTAAATATATTCCTTGGTATTTCATTTTCTTTGATGCTACTTTGAAGGATATTGTGTCTTTGATTTATTCCTAGATTTACTGTTGTTGCCATACATGACAACCACATGATTTGTGTACATCAATTTTGTAAACTGAGACATTGCTATATTTGTCAATTCTAGGAATCTTTTGGTTGAGTCTTTGGGGTTTTCTAGGTATAAAATCATATCGTCAGCAAAGAGAAATATTTCAACCTCTTCTTTCCCCATTTGGATATATTCCATATCCTCCATTTGTGTGATTGTTCTTGCTAGGATTTCTAGCACTATGTTGAATGGAGGGGCAATAGAGGGCAACCTTGTCTGGTTCCAATTCTAAGTGGGAATGCTTTCAGTTTTTCTCCATTCAATATGAACTTGGCTATGGGTATGTCACAGATGGCTGTTATGATTTTTGAGGTATGTCCCATCTATGCCAATATTCTTAAGTGTTCTTATCAAAAAAAGAGCGCTGTCTTTTTTCTTTTTTTTTTTTTTTTTCAGAGACAGAGTCTCACTTTATCGCCCTTGGGAGAGTGCCTTTAGGACTATCCTCTTCTCCTTCATGAATTCCTGTAAGGTGAATGTTTGATCTTTTGGAGTGATCCCACAACTCTCTCAGGGAATGATCAGTTTTTGCTCTCCATTTGTCTGCCTCTTTGAGTGTTTGGGAATGGTTCAAAAGCTTTGTCTTCAGTTTCAGAGATCCTTTCTTCTGCCTGGTCAACTCTATTACTGAGAGATTCTACTGAATTTTGGAGCTCCTCAACTAACTTTTTGTTTCCTTGAGCTCTGCTATCTCTTTTCTCATTATGTCCATATCTTTGGTGATTTGGGCTTTGAATTCATTAATTTCTTGAGACAGCTTTAGAACTACTCTTTCTATCAGAGTAGTTCAATTCTATCTTTTCTTCCATTCTATTTATCTTATTTGCAATCCATATTCTGAATTCGATTTCTGGCATTGCTGCTATTTGTCTATGCATGACATCTTCAGTTGTATCTCCTTTGTCATTTCTTGGGGGTGGGGGAGTTGATCTGCTCTGCTTATTCATGTTGCCAGAGTTCTTCTGTTAGGCCCACACCATGTTTATTTTCCACTGTTTGGTCATTAGAATTGGTAGGGTAGGATCAAATTGTGGTACTCAGGTAGTAGAGATAGCCTCTTACCAAAGTGCTAGGCTTTGTAATTGTGGCTTATCTCCTACAACCTTACAAAGCCCCCTCTCAGAGTTTTAGCCAGAGACTCTGAGGATCCACTTGGTGAGATAGCATAAGCTAGCTCTGTTTTGATATCAGCCAACCTCTACCCTATCTTAAGAAACCACAGTATTAGGTTTAAATCTCAACTGTGAAGAGATACAAACAGCTGCAGTACCCAGCCCCCACCCTTCAGTTCTTTTCC